TGATTTACTGTCCTATGACTAAATACTTAACAGGAGCATATTATGCAAAGAGTTATATGCTGAGGCTCATAGTTTCATGGGTACAACCCATGGTCTTTTGACAATGTATTTCTGAACTCATTCTAAGGCAGAATATCAGGGAAGTGAAAGCATATGTTGGAAGAATTTCTTCATGGCCACAGGAAACAAACAAAGGAAGAATACAGGAAGAATCTTGGGTAGAAGAAGCCTAATCTTATATGCAGTGGTCTACCACTAATAAATAGGACTGCTTTCCAAAGTTTTCAGAACTCCCCACAACAGGGCCACATGATGGAAACAAACATTAAACACAGAAGGCTTATGGTAGGTAAATCATAACCACCAGCATGCTTTTTGAATGGAGCAGAGCCAGAATACTTAACATGGTATATGAAGCCATGTGCCAACCTGATTTGTCAACTCTTTTGGTTCCCAACTGCTTCAGTTTTCCATAGCCACAGTTCCTTCCTACTCTTTAAGGCATATTTAAGAATAGATTTGCTTAATTACTAACACGATGGTTGGTCTTCTAAGAATGTCTTTTAGTATGGTTGGCTTTCTCATTGTTTTCAACTTTATACTCATCTGTTATCTGAATGCCTAACCAAACTCTTCATTTAAAGTATGATCCTCTTTTTATCTACTTATATATTTTTATTTGTGTGATGTTTACATTTCAATCATATAGGTCAATTATTTATATTTTTATATCTACTTTCCATATCTTCCCACTAAATTGTAACATATAGAACAGAGATCTAATTTTTATTGCAATACCCTGGAATCATAGTTACAAGTAATAGGCATCCAACAAACAGCTCTTTTGTAAATACATCTTTTGCTGTACTGGTGATAATCAATGAGGGTAGAAAAATGGGTAAACACACACACAAGCTTAGCAGACTAACAAATTAATTTGCATAAAGTTTTAATAGAATAAACTCATTTAGAGGGATTTAAAGTATCATCTGCACATGGTGGAAATTAAAGGATTATGTACACCTGTCTCAAAGAATGACAAAAGGCAACAAAAGGGACTTCTCTTTTGAGATCTCTTTGAGAATATCTATTGATGACAAAAAACATTGACATCACTAAGTCTGCAAGCTGTCAATTGTGCAATTATAATTTTTCCTAAAGTGATTTAAAAAATAGTAGAAGAAGCCAGGCGGTGGTGGCACACTCCTTTAATCCCAGCACTCGGGAGGCAGAGGCAGGCAGATCTCTGTGAGTTCGAGGCCAGGCTTGACCGACAGCCTCCAAAACAATACAGAGAAACCCTGCCTCATAAAACCAAAAAAAATAGTAGAAGAAGAATGGTTGGAATAATATTCAGTTTTTTCCCCAGCATTAATTTACTGCTCTCAGCAAGTCTTGAATCTAGGGGTAAAAATATCTTTAGCTAAAAATCACAGAAAATGCAAAAAAATAATGGAACTATATGTGAATAAGGCATTTTCTTCTCAAATAACTTTTGCTAAAAGTACCTAGCATTAAAAATTGCAATGGTCTTAAATGGCCATTTTCTATTCTAAAATGTTCTGGGAAAAAAGGTCTTCATGGTTCTTGTCAAAATAGATCACTGATGTCCAGGACTAATCTTTTGTACTCCATAGCATGTAGTTCTTTTTTCATGAGAATTCTGATGAACTCTGCCAGACACTGAGAGGAGACTATTTCAGAGCCATCGATGAACACATTTGTGTTTTTCCACAATGTTGGCATTTACTAAATAGCAAAAAATTAAAAGATATGTCAGCTTTGTTGGCAGAATTTTGCCAAATATTTCTGTTTCTTTTGATAGTTGTCTGAGGAAAACATACGATCTTTAATGCAATATTATTTAGTAGGTTAATTCTTAGGTCACTCCTTAAGCATTATATATAGTATGAATACTTATGCATGTATAAGTCTTAGCTGCAGAATGGCTACCAAGCATGAAAGGAGTCCCAGAAAAGGTCAAAGAATTTCAAAGATTCCTTACTTGAATGTGGAAATGAAAGGCCATCTGAAATGAAAATTATCTCTATGCAATGCAGGTAATGTTATATCTAGTTGTATATAATGCAAACTGTAATTTTGAATATATTTTAATACAGTACATTTTGGTGATGTTCTTCCATCACTCAATAACTCCAAGATTCTCCCTACTTCTCCACCCACAAATATAAACAACTATTTTTTTCTCTCTCTCTTATTAGGATATGAACAGTCATAAAATGTTAAGGAGGAGAAGAAAGATAATAGAAGAAAATTAGATAAAATAAAAACAGATCAGAGTAGTACAGAACAAGAACAAAGACAAACATATTAGAAAGAGCTGAGGTAAAAGCACAAGAAATGCATATAGACAGAGAGATACACACCTTAGCACACAAAATATATCCCATAAGAACACAAAACTATAAGCTGAAATATATACGCAAAGGACTCCTAAGGAAAGCATAATGAGACCAAAAAAAAAAAGAAGTACATAAATGCCAATGGCATCACTTTATGGTAGTCATTTACTGTTGATCATGGGGCCTAGCTTTAGGAGTGGTATATAACCAGTGAGGTTCAAATGGAGAAAACTCATTTTTTCATTTGTGAGTGGTCATCAGTGGGAAACAACTTCTGGATTTGGGATATGGCTTGGTTCCACTTCTCATTTGAGTTTGGGATACATCAGGCTCAAATCGGTGAAAGCCCTGTCCTGTACATGCTGCTTTTGTTTTGGTGAATTTATATATGTATTAGTCCTGCTATAAAAATAGCTTGGTATTGGCACAAAAAATGGGTACACCAATGGAATAGGGTTGAAAACCTGAGATTAATCCACAAACCTATGAACATCTGGTTTTTGACAAAGAAGCTAAAATTATACAATGGAAAAAAGCATCTTTAACAAATGATGCTGACATAACTGGATATTGGCACATAGAAGACTGCAGATAGATCCATGTTTATTGCCTTGCACAAAAATTAAGTCCAAATTGATCAAAGACCTTAACATATATCCAGCCACACTGAACCTCTTAGAAGAGAAAGTGGGTGGTAGCCTTGAATGAATTGGTACAGAAGACGGCTTCCAGAGCATAACACCAGTAGCAAAGAGAGTGAGATCAACAATTAATAAATGGGACTTTCTGAAACTGGTAAGCTTCTGTAAGGCAAAAGACACAGTCAGCAAGACAAAAAGGCAGCCCACAGAATGGGAAAAGATATTCACTAACCCCACATCTGACAGAGGGCTGATCTCCAAAATTTACAAAGAACTCAAGAAGCAAGTCTCCAAAACATCAAAGGATCCAATTAAAAAGTGGGCTACAGAACTAAGAAGAGAATTCGCAATAGAGGAGTCTAAAATGGTTGAGAGGCACTTTAGAAAGTGCTCAACATCCTTACCATCCAGGAAATGCAAATCAAAACAACTCTGAGATACAACCTCACTCCTGTCAGAATGGCTAAAATCAAAAACACCAATGACAATTTATGCTGGAGAGGATGTGGTGAAAGGGGGACACTCCTCCATTGCTGGTGGGAGTGCCAACTGGTTCAGCCACTTTGGAAATCAGTATGGAGATTCCTCAGAAAAATGGGAATAAACCTACCACAAGACCCAACAACTTCACTCTTAGGCATATATCCAAAAGATACCCATTCATACTACAAAGATGTCTGTTCCACTATGTTTATAGCAGCATTATTTGTAATAGCCAGAACTTGGAAGCAATTAGATGTCCCTCAACCAAAGAGTGGATAGAGAAAATATGGTACATTTACACAATGGATTACTATTCAGCAGAAAAAAAACAATGGAAGCCTGAGATTCGCAGGCAAATGGATGACACTAGAAGAAACCATCCTGAGTGAGGTAACCCAGTCACAAAAAGAGAAACTTGGCATGAACTCTCTCATATATGGATTTTAGACATAGATCTGGGGAGTGTCAGCTTACAATCCCATGACCAGAGAGTCTGGGAAACAGAACCTTCATTTAGTGGCTGATTGAAGAAGAGGCAGACTCCCATGGCTAAACACTGAGCTGAACTCAAGAAAGCCAGTAACAGAGAGGGAGGACTGATGACCAAAGGGATTAAGACTGGGCTGGTTTAACCCCCAGAAACAGGTGACCTGACAAAGGTTAACTCTTGAATCCCAGGGATCAGCCTGGAAATCCAGCATGGGACTGATCAAGACCCCCTGAATGTGAGTGTCAGTGAGGAGGCCTAGGTAATCTATTGAGCCTTGGGCAGCAGATCAGTACCCATCCTGAGTATACACACGGATTTGGGCTCCCATCCAACAATGTGTGGTGCACTCTCACCCTGAACTCTTGGGGAAGGGTCTAGGCCCTGCCCTATATGAAATGACAGACTATGGACACCTCCATGGAGGGCCTCACCCTCCCTGGGGAAATGAGCGGATAATGGGGAGGTTGGGGGGAGGGCACAGGAGGAGGGGAGGGAAAGGAGAGGGACCTGCGACTGACTTGTGAATCAACCTTGTTTCTAATCTAAATTTAAACTGAAAAATAAATAAATTAAAAAAATAGAAAAATTTAAAAAAAGAAAACTGTATGGTGGCAGTTTCTCAGAAAATTGGTAATCGACCTCAAGACACAGGAATACTTGTTGGGCCCTTCCCCCATAGACACCTGCTGACCAGCTTGTAACTAGGAGCTTATCTAGCAAATGCTTCTTTTTCCCCATTCTGCTAAGGCCTGAATGCAAGTTCCTGCTATCTGCCCACCCTTATTGCCAGAGGGGCATTGAAACCTGAACTTCTGACATTGATAGTTTTCCAGCATGCCTGTTCACTGGTATATAAGACTTCTCTCCTTTTTAATAAATGCCATTCTCCTTGCATGAATGACCTACTGTCTTGTCTTTTTTAAATCCTTAGGCTACTTGCCCAAATCTTTGAGAAGTGTAGTATTGCTGGCACTACAATTAGAGGTCCCAATGAAATCAGAAAAGAAGGGTAAATGCTGAAGGATGGCCAAAATTCTCATTAAGGTAAGCAGTGGGTGCATTGAACATGGATGCCACAAGTTCCTACCCTCTTACAGGGGACCAGCTGTTAGACTTGTTTAAAAAGCAAGGCACAAGTATCAAACATAAGACAGCAAAAGGCTTCTTAAAAACTATACATGAGATCAGCTCTAGGTTTTTGTTCTCTGGTGATCTTAATATCCTCAACTGCGAGCAGGTGAAGGGAGACCAACAAAGGACATTACAAAAAGAAGGGCCAAATCCCATCCCAATTGTTACCTTTTCTCTGTGGCATCTCATCAAGGATGTGCTTCTTAGTGATTATACAGGCATGAAAGAGTAGGTTGAGGAAGTCAGAGCTGCCTTTGAGGATTCTCAGGACCAAGAGTATGTTAGGTCACTTCAAGCTTCTGATGCTTCTTCCTGTAAGTTTTCTATCCCCCCTTTGGGAGATGACACAGGAATGTGAAGAACTTCAACTCAAGAATGTTGTCCTCAAATTAAAGCATAAACTTAAAAAATGTTCCCTTTAGCCTTGTGCCCCTGCCTGTAATACTGAACATTCTAGCTCTCTCTAGAAGGCCATCCTGAACAGCAGAGGAGCAGAGTGATGTTCCCAGTCATACACACAGTTAATCCCCAAGGCCAGAAACAGAGAGAACATTCCCATCTTAACTTTGAGGATATAAAGCAACTGAAGATGGCAGATACAGCATATGGGCCTCATTCACCTTTCACTCTGGCTGTTTTTGAATCCTTTTCAGCCTTGAATTGCACCCCCAATGATTGGCAGCAATTTTGTCTTGCTACAATGTCAGAGAGAGATTATTTGATTTGGAGGGGTGAATACCAAGAACTATGTAACCAAACAGTGTAGCAAAATATGGCTGCCCATTTCCCTGGTAGGAATTTAGAAATGCTTACTGGTATGGGAGCCTATGCAGCTCTAGGCCAGCAAATTATTTAAGGCCCAGCTATATATAAGCAGATCTCAGTGGGTACTGACCTTGCATGAAAAGCCTTACCTAATAATACTGCAGTAGATCAAATTTCTATGGTCCTACAGGGACCATCTGAACCCTAATCTGAGTTTGTGGATTGGCTACTAAAACTTTCAGGGTGTATATTTGGGGATGCTGATAATGCCATACCTATAGGAAATAATTAGGTATTGAAAACACCAACAAGCACTGCATGGAGGTTTTACAGGAAGCCTCAATGATTGTATTTGCACTTATAGAAATACGAACAGACACCACATTATGGGACAAGTTATTGCTTCTGCTATGCAGTGAAATAGAAAGTCCAGTGGGGGTTTCTGTCTTAAGACATGTTTTAGATGGGAGCAAATGAGCCACTTTAAAAAATTGTCCTGCTAAGGACTATGTTTCACACCCTCCCCCCAGGGCCATGTCTTTGTTCCCACTGTAAAAAAAGGACATCATTGGGAAAATAATTGATATTCAAAGACTGATGTACTGGGTAACTCTATGTCATCTCTGGGAAATGGTAATCGGGTCTGCTCTGGGCTCCTGATTCCATGTGTACAGAGCACTGGATATATTACTTCCCTGACCTATTCAGGTCCTAACTCCGAAGAAGCACTTTGTATCCAGGACTGTGACAAAGGTACCCCAGCAAGCACAGGACTGGACCTCTGCTCCTCCATTAAAGCAATATTGGTACTTCAGAAGGGACTCGAAATGTTGAGCATTGGAGTCAAAAGCCCTTTACCACTGGTCAAAATTGGATTGACTTTTAGGAAGGAGTAGCATTCTACTTCAGGGGATTAGGGTCATTCCTGGAGTGACTGATGAAGACACTGAAGGAGAGATCAAAATTATGGTGGAATCTGGCAAAACAATCACTATTATGGGACCTATGGCATGCTGGGTGTCCACTTTGGAGTCCAGACCCCTGAGTACCCTGATTATTGATGGATGAACCTTTCAGGGACTCCTTGATATGAGTAAAAAGATACATCTGTCTTTTCCCTCAATCATCAGCCCAAGGCTTAGCCCCTGCAAGAATTAGATAGTAACTTACAGGGTATAGACATAGCAAAGTCACCTAGTAAAAGGGACAGTCTGGCATATTTCAGCCTTTCATTTTGCCTCACATCCCAATCAATTTTCTTATAATCAATGTATTTCCAGAGGAGCCTGGGAACAAGAACTTCTGACATTCATAGTTTTCCAGGATGTCTGCTCACTGGTATATAAAGTATCTCTCCTTTTTAATAAATGGCATTTTCCTTGCATGAATGACCCACTGTCTTGTCTTTATTTAAAATCTCATGCTCCCCTCCAGAATCTATGAGAATTATTGCAGCACTGGTGCTACAGATACCACTCTTGGGCATATAGATGAAGGATGCACACTCATAGAAAAAGGTAATTTGTTCAACTATTTTCACAGCAGCATTATTTGTAATAACAAGAACCTGGAAGCAACCAAGTGAACCTCAGCTGAAGAATGGATAAAGAAAATGTGTTAGATATACACAATGGAGTACTACTCAGTGGTAAAATAAATGACATCTTGAAAATTTCAGGCAAATGTATGGAAATAGAAGGAGCCATCTTGAGTAAGGTAACCCAGATACAGAAAGACAAACATGATATGTATTCATTCATAAGTGGATGTTAGCCATAAAGCAAAGGATTACTATCCTACAATCCACAACCCCAGAGAAGATAGGAAGCAAGGAGTACCCTAGGAGAAATCTAGATGAAACCCCTCTCCAGAAGAGGAAATAGAAAATATCTCGTGCATAAATTTGGAAGCATGGAGGAAGGGGTTGTAAGAGAGTGGGGAGGAGAAAATGGAAGGGAAGAAGAACATGAGAGATCAGGAAGGTCTAGTTGGGGGAAGGACAGAGAGGGAGAGTAAGGAAAGGAATATTACAATAGAGAGAGTCATTGTGGGGTTATGAGAAACGTGGCACTAGGGAAATACCCAGGAATTAACAAGGATAACCCCCAACTAAGAATATGCACAATAATGGAAATGTTACCTTAAATACCCTTTGCCTATACTCATATTGATGTCTACCCTGTCATCATAGAGCCTTCATCTAGTAACTGATGAAAGCAGATGGAGAGATCTACAATTAAGTCCTGGAATGAAAACCTGAAATCCAGTTTTAGAGAGAGAGGACTTATAATATGAGAAGAGGGGTGAAGACCAAATTGGGGGAATCCACAAAAACAGCTGAAAGGGATATCACTCACTTCAGACTAACATTTGGGGAACTAGGCCCCTAAATGTGGGTAACAGTGGGGCCCTTGGTTAGTTTATGGGACTTTTGGCAGTGGAACCAGTAATTATCCACAGTGCAGGAACTGGTTTTTAGGAGCCCATTCCCTAGGGAGTAATACATTGTTCAGCCTAGATGCAGGGTGGAAGGCCTTGGTCCTGACCCAAATGGTGTGACAGACTTAGATGGTTCCCCACTGGAGGCCTCATCTTCTCTGAGGATTGGATGCGGGTGGAGTGGGGAAAGCGAGAGGATGGGATAGAACTAGAATTTGTATGTAAAATAAAATTGCTTAAAAATAAAAAAGAAACAAATAATATTCCATTGTGTGAATGTACCACATGTTCTTTATTCACTCATTCATTGACAGTTTTGGTCTACAAAACTTTTTTGTTTGGTTGGATCTTTACGTGGTATAGATATGCTAATAGCTGTGAGCCTGTATACTGTATCAGAAACATCAACGAACATGTCTTTTCTT